TTTGTGTTTGTATTTTTTAAAACTGGTGCTACACCTCACTGATGCTTCTTCAAAGATCGTGGCTTTTGTGTTTTATTTTAGTAGTGTTAATGGAACATGCCAAAAAAAGCTTGCTTGGCATATTTCAGTCACGGAAAATGTTTGTAAGCAAAACCAGACTTACATAAATGTTTAATATGTTTAAGATAAGTTAAAAATCAAGTCTGTAAATTCAATTGCGTTGTTTGTATTGCTTCAATAGAGTATTTTAAAGGTTCTTCCCCTTTCTAAAATCAAATCAAATTTATATTTTCCAGAGGCATCAAGTAATCAAATTGTAGACTTGTTGGTAAAAGAAATTACCTGACATTCTGCAGATTGCAGTCTGTAACTTAGAGGCTTGGCTTTGTTCTTTAAAAACCTCTTTTAGAAGTAGCTACTAAGTTTTTCAGTGTTATTCAACTTACTCTGCTTTTGTAAAAAATACCATTCTTACTGCTTCTGGGATTGGCAGATTAATACCATAATTTGTGAAAACAGCTGCCTCTGTTATACTCTTTGTTTTAGCTGAAAGTCCAAACCAAACTTTGTGTGCCTTTCTTCTCAATGTTCTCATAAATGGATGAAGCAGTGCACAAATGCATAATATATATATGCAAATGCATAATATATAGTCTGCCCTGTATGTCATTCCAGTGACATTATTAGATGCCATAGTATTCACCTCAGAAAAAGGCCAGTGCGAGTTGCAGAGGCCATATTTATTATAAAAATGCAATATAAATAAAGGTGCATTAATTTTGAAGGACCTCAGAGGAACATAGGGACTGGAAGGGCATTTGGGATGATCTAGTCTCATGCTATCTTAGGTAACCAAGTAACATTATGCATTTTATTAATTGGTCAAGCACCATGTTATAAATAGAGATGTTTTCATTTGCTGGTGCTTATTTGGCATCTGTTTCAGAATCTCACTGCCCTGATGCTTACAAATGTCTTGCAATTCCAGCTTACGTGTATTCCTGACCAATTTATTCTAATTTGCTCTTATGTCAGTATTACCTTTTAGCATCAATAGCTCTTTAAACTTCTGGACATTTACATTGTATATGCTTAATGAGAGCAATCTGGAGACTCTTTTTGCTAGACTAAGTTCATGCATTTCATATGTGCTTCTAGCACTAGTGCAGGCTTAAGTGGCTACTGACACTTTTTAGCTTTCATTTAGGCCAACACAGCTGTTTTGAAGTCATACATCAAATAGGTGATGGGACTGATTAGCTCAAAAAAAGCTGTCCCCCCTGAATTTTTTTGGTCCACTCTATTTTCACCCGTATGCTGTTTTGAATCTTTTCAAAGTACGACCCTAACAACAGTTATGCTGCTGCCATTGACGTAGTGGTGTACAAGGACACAAATGAGCAACAGAGGGTGGAACACTGACAGAAGAATGTCTTAAGGCAATACTGTTGCTGGATGTGAACCTTATCCTTAACCCCGACTTGTTTACATCTATCTGGTGCTCTACACTGCACCACAGAAAATTGAGCATGACAGCTGAAGCAGTTTGAACTTGACAGTTCAGGCATTAGCAGCAGTCAATGCAAGGCATACATCCTTCCATCTAATTTAAACTGAATCAACTTCTGATTGCTCAGTCTAAGCAGTAGTTGACTCTTCCCTCATGTTACTGCTGTTTACCAAAAGCAAGCCTAAAATAATAATTCTGTCCTCTTCATTCAGTATTTGAAGAAAACCATCTGGTTCTTACCATTATTAATAGAATTTATTTTCCAGTTTTTATCTGGGAAGTTAAAGATTCCCTCAGTGATACAATTTAGTATTTTCTCTCTAATAACATGACAAATGTAACTGCAGAGCGTTTTTGAACATCCTACTACTATAGTTATATTCTTCTTTCTTGTTTCTTTGTAGTCTTATTTATAGAATTTAATCTTGTCATTGTTTATTTGTTTCTTTCTTGAACAAATAAGGTAAAATTAGTAAGTTATCAATTTTATTGCAGTATGGTACATGAAGTTTTGGGAATTTATTTCTTTATAGTTTTATATGGATAAATAATTCAAAATACTAATCCGGGAAAGAAATGACCAAAATTTCACTTGTGCATATATATTTACTTGCATGCTGTTTCCATTAATCTGATGTCAGTTAATTTTGTCTTTAGTACAAGGACATCTGATTGACTGGTAGCCAGTACCAACATGTGTGTAAAAGGTTATTTGAAGAATGGCATGTAGTGACTGGTGTTAATATGAGATGTTATATTACAGTTTTTGAAGGCCCATTGTCATTTGGCCAGTTAGAAAAACTTGGAGGTCTTTCTGAGTTTGTACTGCCTATTATTATTAAAAATAATATACATAAATGACTGCTTCATCCTATCAGCAGGAGACAAGATATTGGCATTTCAAAACTGGGCTGATCTGAGTTTTCTTGTTTCCAACAGGCAGACAACAACTTGTTGGGATTTATGGCGATAATTTATACAGCTGTCAAATTTATATGTGTATGTCTCAATGCAACTAGACAATATACTAAAAAAATCAATTTTAAGTCAAATTTAAAAATAGTGCTGTGCAGTAATTAGGGACCCTGCATTCAAGTTTATGAACTCAGTCCAACTTTAATTATTAATGAATCTAGTTGGACAGGCTGCAATGAATGTAATCTGTTGGTCCTGTGCCTGTTACAGTGTTTGGTTTTGATAATATGTAATTGGTCATTGACAACAGGGCTCTGTTTTCTA